ACCGCGGGACGACTGCAACGGCGGCATTTATTGGGATCAAAGGCGCGAAATAAGCAAGAACAACTTTTATTTGAATCATAACACGCGATATCCAAGTTGGGGACCACATACCTTTGCTGGGTCTTTCCTGCGAACTTTTTACAGAGACACAGGGTGCCGCATTCAAAACACACTCCGTTTGCAAAATATGGGGGCCCTGAAAAGGGCCGTTTAGACCTCTACCAGAACCTATAACTTACGTAACGAGCACTTGACGAGGGGTTGGCGCATAAGTAGTCTTTATGCACGCAGGCGGGCGACGGGCTCAGCGCAGCGGATCACTCGAAGTCACCCCCTGTCTGCGTCGGGGCTGTAGATTTTGGCGGCCGCGGTGACGAACGACTGGAATCTATCAGTGTTTCCGCGCGCCTTCCCTCTCCTCCAAAATATGAACTTTGCAAGGTGACCAGTGAAATGGTGGCTCTCGCGCCGTCCAGATAGAAGAGAGTTTTTGACGTGGGCCCAGGTGCCCTCCACCGTATTGGTGTGCGCACCGGTGTTCGGGTCGACAAAGTGCAGCTTGTGGTTAACGGTGAGGTGCGTGAAGCGAGCGTCATCTGCAAGCTTGCGATAGCCAGCCCAACAATCTGTGATTATTCTTGTTCCAGGGTGGACCCACTTGGTTATTAGCCCTAGCAGGGTTTTAGCGTCACGGGTCTCCACGGGAACAAGAAAGCAGCACCCGGTGCAACGCGCCACACCGCCAAAAACCCACTTGCCAGGCCTTAAATACCCGCGATGGTACTTTCGCCGCCCGAACATACTCTCGTCTAGTTCTACAGTCACGCCTTCGCCGCCAATCATTTCTGAATGCGTAAAGACGGCATTTACCACAACCTCCCGTCAAAGGCTCGTCCAATCAGTTATTGTCTTACTTGCGACATCAGTCTCCCGCTGAATGACGGCGCACGGTAGGTTCTGGCACCAGAGGTAGATGATCTTCATGAAATGGGGAAGCGTCAGGTGCGATCTCTCGGGAACCGCTCCGTACCGAGACCTCGCACCGGCACTGAACCTTGACCGGCTTCCTCTTTGGCACCTCACGAGTCATCCACACACCGAACCTTCACAAATAACCATCTGCAGATCTAGCGCGGACTTGCAGCGTCATGGGAGCTTCGCACTCTGGGCACGCACACGAACCCAGAAGCAGGCCCCTGCCCTGAAGCAAATTAATTGCTTCAAGAGGGTCTTTCATGGCGTCATGAAGACGGCACAAGTTAAACGCCATGGCACTCCGACGCTCGCCTCTGGAAGAATAAAGCGCCGAGGGGGCTAAACGAGCAGAACTGCGGGCTTCTTTGCATTTATTATTTTTATTTGATCCGCCATTTTATACCTCGTGACACTATTCTAACAAACTCATTGGTTAATCGGTCGGACCATGTCATCGCGTGACGAAACAAACGCCAATCGTATGACCAGAACGGTTGCCACTGTCGGCATCGTTACAAAGAGAACAGTCGGACCCAACAACAAAGTAAAGTCACAAAGTGAACAAAAAACAAATAAGAAGGGAGCCGTTCTCGGGCGGCGTGTTCTTTGATGAGAAGTGTTGCTCGCAATGGTAACTTGTTTGTTTTCTTTTCTGTTTCTTTACCCTAGAGGGTGCCACGACCCTTATTTGAACCATTTCGTCGTTTACCCTGAGACTGGGGGGGGGGTTTTGAAGAGCAGAAGAAACAGAAAAAACAGAAAGGTTTCAACCTTGAGACCTGTCTGTTTTTTCTGTTTCTTCTGCTCTTCAAAAAAAAACCCCAGTCTCAGGGTAAACGACGAAATGGTTGACTTCCACCAGCTAGCCTGTACTTTGACTCTTTTCTCCTTATTTGAAGCTGGTTTGTTAATTCAATAACAAAGACGCGTTGCAACGAAAGAGGGAGGGAGTCTTGGCGTCAGAATAATTGAAAAGAAAAGTAAGAATGCACAATATATACCGTACTGCAAGACCGTTATACTCCGCACTCGGCGAGGCCTCATGACGCCGCCGACGACCGTTAGGCTATTTATTTTGTTCCTTTAGACTTTTATCGCGATCACTACTCCACCGTGCCTCATATTTTCCAGCGAAGGTCCGGCAGTTTTAATAAATATTAGTATTGTCGTTTAAAGGGCACTCTTTCTAAGCTCTTTCGTCTTCGTTCCTGACGCCATAAAAATATGGGCGGGAAAAAATAGCCCCACGTATAAAAAAAAAAAGTTTATTTCAAGGTCGGATTGGTTTGTGGATACAATTAGTCCAATAAAATTAGTCCAATAATTAATTATCCCAATTATTTAGCTTTGTTGTTACCATCTTTTGTGTGCATGCGTGAAATACGGGAGGCACTCACTTCATCGAATGACGTTTTAGCGAACGCCCACGTTTCACCGAATGACACTTTAGCGAATAGCCGGGCGCCGCGAAGCGGCGTTTTCGGGTGGGCCAAATGGGTTCACATTTTTGCAATGAGCTGCCGCAGACTGTCGCCGCGAAGCGGCGTAAAGCGCAGCGCGGCGGATGGGTTAGCGCGCGCCCCCGTTATTCGCTAAAACGTTGATTCGCTCAAATGTCGCTGCTCGCTAAAATGTCATTCGCTCATGTGATATGGACCCGTGAAATACAGCACCCAACGATAAGACATGAGAAGAACGCTGCAAGTGCTGGACCGTAGACCGTTTAATGTCACCAAAATCCTGGGCCGGAGAGCACTTGGCGATATCAGTGTATCGTTTTAAAAGCGCTACAAAAACACGTCGGGGACACTGAACTTCTGGACCAACTATGAGTGCGTGACCGTGTGATGTGTGTGTATGCCATTCCTTATTTTTAGATTGTAGTCGCGAAAAATCCACATGGACTAGGGCCTGAGTAAGTCAGAGTCTAGGCCAACATCTGGGTGCTGTTACTTGTTCCCTAGTCAGTGTGGATATTTCGCACCTATAATTTAAAAAAGAAAGAATATTTTTTCGGCGTCAGGAACGAAGCAGCATAGAAAGAGTGCCCTTCAAACGAAAATTCTAATATTTATTAAAAACTGCCGGACCTTCGCTGGAAAATATGAGGCACGGTGGAGTAGTGGTCGCGATAAAAGTCTAAAGAAACAAAATAAATAGCCGAACGGTCGTCGGCGGCGTCATGAGGCCTCGCCGAGTGCGGAGTATAAAGGTCTTGCAGTACGGTATATATTGTGCATTCTTACTTTTCTTTTCAAGAATTTCAAGAAAACAAAACGCGTTGTTCTTTTCAAGAAAAACGCGTCTTTGTTATTGAATTAACAAACCAGCTTCAAATAAGGGTCGTGGCACCCTCTAGGGTAAAGAAACAAAAAAGAAAACAAACAAGTTACCATTGCGAGCAACACTTCTCATCAAAGAACACGCCGCCCGAGAACGGCTCCCTTCTTATTTTTTTTGTTCACTTTGTGACTTTACTTTGTTGTTGGGTCCGACTGTTCTCTTTGTAACGATGCCGACAGTGGCAACCGTTCTGGTCATACGATTGGCGTTTGTTTTGTCACGCGATGACATGGTCCGACCGATTAACCAATGAGTTTGTTAGAATAGTGTCACGAGGTATAAAATGGCGGATCAAATAAAAATAATAAATGCAAAGAAGCCCGCAGTTCTGCTCGTTTAGCCCCCTCGGCGCTTTATTCTTCCAGAGGCGAGCGTCGGAGTGCCATGGCGTTTAACTTGTGCCGTCTTCATGACGCCATGAAAGACCCTCTTGAAGCAATTAATTTGCTTCAGGGCAGGGGCCTGCTTCTGGGTTCGTGTGCGTGCCCAGAGTGCGAAGCTCCCATGACGCTGCAAGTCCGCGCTAGATCTGCGGATGGTTATTTGTGAAGGTTCGGTGTGTGGATGACTCGTGAGGTGCCCAAGAGGAAGCCGGTCAAGGTTCAGTGCCGGTGCGAGGTCTCGGTACGGAGCGGTTCCCGAGAGATCGCACCTGACGCTTCCCCATTTCATGAAGATCATCTACCTCTGGTGCCAGAACCTACCGTGCGCCGTCATTCAGCGGGAGACTGATGTCGCAAGTAAGACAATAACTGATTGGACGAGCCTTTGACGGGAGGTTGTGGTAAATGCCGTCTTTACGCATTCAGAAATGATTGGCGGCGAAGGCGTGACTGTAGAACTAGACGAGAGTATGTTCGGGCGGCGAAAGTACCATCGCGGGTATTTAAAGGACCCATGAAGCGAATTTTAGGCTGGAGTAAATCAATTTATATTGGGATTTTACTAATAGCACATCGTTCAGTGGGCCAAAAGAACAAAGGTAGAAAGTCAGAAGCCTGACTTTCGCTACGAAAATTTGCAAAACATAGCGGACTATTTCGTACCTCCTTCCCTTCGTAAACTCTCCGCCTTTTCACTGTGATACATCCGCGGACCCCGCAGCGCGTCACCGGGCTACTAGCCACCATAACCGGGCCCCCACAGCGCGTCACCAGGGCCCAAGCGCACGTCACACGACACCGGACCTCACTTAATCCCTTTACCCCTAAGCTGACATTGCGGTGGAAGCTACGCGCTTGCCGGACCAATCAGCCGTCTCCCTTTCAACACCTGACCTCATTCTCTGCGGGTCGGTATGCGCGAGAGGGCATGATCACGTGGAAAATGTGTGGCTGGCCCAACGAGCACGTAGCTTCCACAGCACTGTCAGCTTCGGGGTGAACGGGGTGGGGAAAGCAACTAGTCGGAATTTTGAGCGACGGGCTAATCTTCTAGGGGGACAATGGCTGTGTCCGGCTAGTCAAGCGAGATTCCGAGCAAGAGGGGACTCCCCCCTTTCCGACTTCTTGAACTGTTTGGTACAATGCGCGATTTATGAGTTGAGAAGGAAAGCTAAACAGAAAAAAGTTGAAAAAGCGTTTCATGACTCCTTTAAGGCCTGGCCAGTGGGTTTTCGGCGGTGTGGCGCGTTGCACCGGGTGTTGCTTTCTTGTTCCCGGGGAGACCCGTGACGCTAAAACCCTGCAAGGGCTAATAGTCGAGTGGGTCCGCCCTGGAACAAGAATAATCACAGATTGATTGGCTGGCTATCGCAAGCTTGCAGATGACGCTCGCTTCACGCACCTCACCGTTAACCACAAGCTGCACTTTGTCGACCCGAACACCGGTGCGCACACCAATACGGTGGAGGGCACCTGGGCCCACGTCAAAAACTCTCTTCCGTCTGGACGGCGCGAGAGCCACCATTTCACTGGTCACCTTGCAAAATTCATGTTTTGGAGGAGAGAGAAGGCGCGCGGAAACACTGATAGATTCCAGTCGTTCGTCACCGCGGCCGCCAAAATCTACAGCCCCGACGCAGACAGGGGGTGACTTCGAGTGATCCGCTGCGCTGAGCCCGTCGCCCGCCTGCGTGCATAAAGACGACTTATGCGCCAACCGCTCGTCAAGTGCTCGTTACGTCAGTTATAGGTTCTGGTAGCGGCCTAAACGGCCCTTTTCAGGGCCCCCATATTTTGCTAACGGAGCTGTGTTTTGAATGCGGCACCCCGTGTCTCTGTAAAAAGTTCACAGGAAAGACACAGCAAAGGTATGTGGTCCCCAACTTGGATATCGCGTGTTATGATTCAAATAAAAGTTGTTCTTGCTTATTTCGCGCCTTTGATCCCAATAAATGCCGCCGTTGCAGTCGTCCCGCGGTGCTGTTGCTCGCCCATTCGCCGTCGGCGTGCCTCAGCTTCGTCGTCTTTGCCAGCGGCGCACCGGCGAAGGCGGCCTTTGATCCGAATAAATGCCGCCGTTGCAGTCGTCCCGCGGTGTTGTTGCTTGCTCGATCGCCGTCGGCGTGTCTCAGCTTCGTCGTCTTTGCCAGCGGCGCACCGGCGGAGGCGGTTGATCTGACACACCGCGTTCGGCTTTGGCTAGCAGACGGCGTTCGTAAAATGGCGTCAGCTGTTGCTGGCTTCACGCGGCGGTACCGTGCGTGCTTCTATTCATTCGGCGTTCGTTTCCATGGTGACGGCGAGGAAAGCAGACCAACTTTTTGGTGCGGAAGAACGCTGCGGCGCAGCGACACCAGGTGCGTTCTAAGGCCCTTCCCGCATGCTTTTCAATGGGCGGAAGGCGAACAAAAAGAGTTCAAAATAAGGACTTAACGCAGAAGGCTGCATTTCTCCAGCGCCTCATAATTTGACGAGCCTTAAACGAAAAACGCGTTTTTTTGGCCATCCCGCGTCCTGTTTTTTTTTATCCGTAACATGGGTCTAAAGTATCAAACTGCCGCAAAATCTCGGTATACAAGAAACGTGTCTATAAAGCTACACGTCACCAGCGAATTTAGATTGACTCGCTAAGAATGGAGAGGTCAAGGAGGAAATGCTCGTTTCAAGGGCCAAAATGGCGACCATCTGGGGAGCTTGGCGCTACTTTCCAACGATCCAGTTATTTTAGTGAAAACGACAGAAAGGAGCTTCAGCTGCCCGAACCTCCAGCTCGAGCTGCCGACTTTCGACAACGCTTCCCCGTCTCGTGCACCTCGAACGCACCCGCATACCCGAAGCAGGGCGAAAGGCTTAGTGCGCGTGCTGGAAGCTGGGCGTTCGAAAGACCAGCCCTGCCGTTCTCACTTTGTTAGTGACTATAATGAATGTTACTTTGCTCACGGGTTGCTCGTGGTGTTCACCCCGTATATAAGCGGCATTCACTGGCGGTCGTAGTCTGCTCCCGCTGACCATGATCTTACGTTGAGCTTCCAAATCGTTTGCGTAACGTACATTCCACACCACCAAAATAAGCCGAGGCTCATTCTAATCAGCTGCGACCACTTCGCTGAAATGTGGTGCCCAGTGAATCCCACCTGTACTTGCTTTGATCTTATCTTTTTGTCTAAAAACTGGTACGGACAGCCTCATTTTCTTCCGTTTTCTTACGTTATGCATTAGTCGCCGAAATATCTGCGTCTCTAATATCCCGCGCCAGGCCCTCACTTTAACTGGTAGCCACGCTTAATAGGAAGCACAGATGTCCCCGTGAGTTGTGGCGTAAGCAGACGTAAAATTTCGTAATGTAAGGTAACGGAAAATGGGACTGTGTGGTACAGGTATTATGCTCATACAGCAGATGACAACCATGCATCCACACTATAAGCGGTGAGATATTTGGTGGCGCCCTCCTGTGGTTTCCTCTCGTGACGTCATTACCTTACGAACAACAACTTCGATGGTGTTTATAATTAGCATGTTGGAAGCTTGAGATTATTGCGCTCACAAAACAACACTGCCAACACCATCAAAATTGAAGTTCTTACATTACTCTTATCTCTGTCGATGAAGAAACCTTTGCTGGCGTCATAGTCAGCATTCGGCCAATTGTGGAAGGCCGACCACAGCGACGCTTTTGATAGCGCACGTCGCCAATAGACCCTTTCTGAAAGTCAGTCTACCCACCTTGTGCAGAGCCAGACCCGACGCTCTAATGGCGGAACTACACCGTTTCTCCACACCAGAAAAATCGAACGTCTTCAAAAGCGTAAAGCAGAAAAAGGAAAATATGTTGACCGTTTCACGACACCTTCGATACACGAAATCGAGGGTGCTTGATTTAGTCGCGCTTGATCTCCTATCACCGCCATTAGAGCGGCAATATTGGAGCTTTTTGTACTGCCACAAGAGGACTCTGACTTTTGAAAAGGGTCTATTGGAATAAATTACAGAAGGATAAATACCCATTTCTCATTCCTGCTAGATGCGTTCACTGTGCGAGCTTGCACGCGAACCGGGAAGTGTCCAAGTTTTTCAGTGCAAACGTAAAGGACTTGAGCACACCAACTAGTGCTTGAAACTGCAGTACCGGAACAAGGCCAATCCAGATTAAGCTATCATTGCTGACCTTCTCTTTTCTTATCAAGATACCGATCCACTAAAGCGGGCGTTGACAAGCTTTCACAAAGGCCAATGCTGGGGAGAAGCACGCGGTCGAATCTAAAATAGCAATAACCTGTCCTGCTGTTGTAATGATGCAAGGAGCAAAGTGATGAAAATAAGAAAAAGCAAGAATGGGAGGTCAGTTATTGCCTCGCAGCAGCTGTGCAAGGGCGTAATACAAAAATTCACGGATTTGACTTTTTTTATAGTTAGAAGATGTGTTTTTTTTTTTTTTTGGTTAAGCCGCAGCCGTCGACTAAAAAAAATGTTACAAAAAAGAAAAAAAAACGGCGCTAAGGAAAGAGAACTTTACGCCATAAATTGTAGAGATCCTCACGGCTCACGAAACACCAAAGAATGCGTAAAAACGCCTTATTTTGAAGAGACAAAAATAAATGCGGCAGACGCCACGTTATGTTGTGTTCACACTACGGATGCAATGCGCCGATTTTTTATAACACGCGAAAGCGTAAGCGCAAGAAGCGGAACGATTTCGTTCAGACTACGAGCAATCGTGGTCTGAACGAACTTGTTCCGTTTGTTGCGCTTGGGTTTGCGTGTGTTATGAAACATTGGCGCGTTGCGTCCGTAGTGTGTACATAGCATAAGTCGCGAGAAACTGAACAAATGGTCCCGAAACAAATGGTCCCAGAATAAATGGACCCGGAATAAATGGTCCCGGAATAAACGGTCCCGGAACTAATAGTCCCGGAACAAATGGTCCCAAAACTAATAATTCCAAGTACAAAAAAAAAATGATCCCAGATAAATATAGCAAATCTGGCTTCTGGCGTTTTCGGATAAATCCGATAAAATCCAATAACTCTCGCCTGTCAACATTTTACGGTTTCCAACTTATAAGAAAAGCTCCGAATTTCGAGCCTGACGGTTGCACGAACTCCGATCCGTTTCTACATTTTTTCTGGGAAGCTGAGACATATTTCTGCGCTATGGAAACCTACTGCAGCTATAAAGGCATCGGGCTCCGCTCGTTATGTGTGATACCCCCCCGCGTCATGACGAGATGGAAGTCATTCGAGTTTCATGGCTTCAACAGGGGAGGCACCCACTTGATCGAATGTCGTTTCAGCGAACGCCCACGTTTCAGCGAATGGCACTTTAGCGAAAAGTCGGCCGCCGCGAAGGGACGTTAACGGGTGGGCCAACTAGGTTCATATTTTTTGTAATGAGCTGCCGCAGACTCTCGCCGCCAAAGAGGCGTAAGCGCAGCGCGAGGGGGTGGGGAGGGGGGGGGGGGTGAACAAGTGCTCCCGATATTCGCTAAAACGTCGATTTGCTCATGTGACATGGACCCGCTCCAACTGTATAACTAGGAGTACTATATTTTCGTTTCAAAAATTTTCTGTTCGAAAATATTATGTCGATTTTGAATAAAATTAAGTTCAATACCCGACCACTTTCTTCGAAGTAACCGGCCTCAAAGTATAGACGAGATCCTTCATTACACCAGAAAATCACTGATTGCATAGTGGAGGAAGTATATTGCATGGTATATCTTAGTTTCAAAGCAGCCTTCTTACAGGACCATTTTGTCCTACCTTGGACTTGGACCATTATTCTGGGACCATTTGTTCCTGGACCTTTAGTTTCGGGACCATTAGTTCCTACACCCATAAGTCGCATCCCGGAATGCAAAACGTTTAACGCATCTGTGATTAACGCTTACGGTTTTATAACTCGAGATGTAACAACAAATCATAAGATACATGAACATTTTTCAAATAACGGCAATATGACACATTATCACGGTATATTTTCCGAGCGTGTTCAAGTTAGTGTGATGTCAACCAACACGTTTAGTGATATGAAAGAAAACCTTTAAGCATCTGAATAAAAAAAGAACAAAAAACGAATGCGCTAACCTCCAAATTTCGACTTATCTGGTTTGTTAAAATGTGTGAACCGCCATTTATTATGTCTTTAAGCGATTGTTTTTATGAGAAGCAAGTGCGTCTAGAAAAACGTTTAAAGTTATTTTGCATTTTCGCTAAATTTAATTTTAAAAAAAAGTCAGTTTTTTTTATCGGAGTACTTTCTTACCAATACAATGGGTTTCAAGTTACCGGTAAAGTGTCGATAGAAGAATAA